ATTGCTTGCTGAACATGTTGCTAGCTTTTTGTGATTTCTGCACAAGGACTCCCAAATCCCTCTGTGCTATAGTCTAGCAGTCATTTTCCATTTGAGTAATATTATAAAACTTTTGAAATTAAAATTAATTCAATTTAAAAAAACACAAATTTTCCTCGTTTCACTCATTCAACTCTCACACACAAGAATTAGATACAAATGACCTAAGAAAAACTATTACAACGTATTATTGTCTCAGACAACAAGGTGCAGGGCTGGATGAACACAGCAGGCCAAGCAGCATCATAGGAGCAGAGAGGCTGACGTTTCGGGCCTAGACCCTTCATCAGAAAAATCATTGTCTCAGTCTTTTTTTGTTGCAGCAGGCCTATACTTTGTTAGATGAGTTGATTCCTTTGTTGAAATGAAGGATTTGTAAACCTGAGGATGGTCAGTAAGTTGAGATGTCATTTATGGTTGAATTTCCAAGCATTTAGCTCTCAGGTGAACTTGAAATTGGAACAGTTTTGAAAGAGTCTTCCCAGTTTCAACGTAATCCTATTTATTACCTTGTCCGCTTTGTTCACTTGCAGCTAGTTCAATGGCTTTCTAATGGAACTGTCTCTGGAGGACAGCTTCTGCTCTTATATTAAAAGCAGGTAATAAAATAGCATTATATAACGTGTACAAGTTCAACACCATTTTCCAAAAATCGTTGGTGTGTTGACCGCACATCCTGTTGTGTTGTTTGATGCCTTGAGATGTTTAGATTAGATGAGGGAACTTTAAGGGTTAATTTCCTCCTAAAGTAAATTATACTCCTTCTAAATAGTGGAAGGTCAATGGGACTCATTCATATTCGTTTAACACACGTTGAGCTTTTTTTTTGCCCACAGAGAAGCAGAAAGGTTCATCAGCTATAAGTCTCTTGTTGATGATCCATCTTCAAACTAAGGGATAGATGAAGTGTGTGAATTCCTCTGATGTCTGTGAATACCCATATTTAATTGATATTTTCTTGAGACACAGATTTCTTGAGAATTGCCTGGAGCATTTGAAATGTCTCCGCCATAAAATAATGGAACACAACACAAGGTAATCAAGGATCATCATCAAAGTTGCTTCTAAGCTGCACAAACACACAGCCACTCCAAGGTCTGCGCATGAAAATTGGTGCTGGCCTGCCAATCACAGTACTGACTTCTAGTTCCAGAAACTGCTGCTAGTTCGGAGACCCGCGCAGTCAGCAAGAAAATTAGAGGGAACATGGGTCATGGTGAGTGGCAGGCAGGAAGTGGAGTTAAGGCCAATTCAGATCAGCCATTAGCTAATTGAATGGTACAGTGGATTCGAGAGGCTGAATGGCCCACTGCTGCTCCTATTACTTCTGTTCTTATAAAAGGAGACTTGGGTTGAATATATGAATCAACCTTGGCTGGCTGGGCTGAATGGCCTGCTTCTGAGCCACATTTCCTATGTAATGCATTCAAGCAAGTATACGGAAACAACAGATAAATTCATAAAAATATCAATGACGTACACAGTTAAAGAAAGAAACAAAGAACTGGTATTTATATGGCACCACAGGGACATCCCAAACGATTAATATCCAAGGAAATACTTTTCTAGTAGAGTCTCTAGTGTAATGTAGTACACCAACACAACCAACTTGTGCACAGTAAACAAACAAGCAATGAGATAATGACAAGGTCTTCTGTACATCAGTTGAGAAGAATGCTGTTCAGGAAACTAGAGCATTTTGCCCACTCTTAGAATGGTGCTGGGAAATCTTGAATTAATGATTTTTACTGCCACACGTATTTCATAATAAAAATACAATAAGCTTTCACTTGTCGCCATTTTGAATAATTTAAGAAAAGTTTCTTCAAAAAAAATGAAACATACAGCTGAAAGAAAGTCCATCAGTCCTGAGCCAGCTTTTCATCATCAATGACACCTATGCCGCCATCCCTCCTCCTCAGCATCACTGCCGTCTACACCAGATCCAACCAATGTCGAAGTCACCGATCTTCAGGCACCATCTTTTGTCACTGGGTCGATAGTTCTCTTACATCGCCTCGCCGCCAACCAACGTCGAAGTCACCAATTCTCAGGCACCATCCTTCACTGCTGGGCCAACCTTGCCGATGTTACCTCTACCGATGTGGCAGCTGCCGATTCCAATGCCAGGTCCTGTGCTTGCTCTGGAAAAGTAAGTGGGGGCTCATTCAAGGTCCACGCCGGACTCGATGAAATCTTTAACATCTACCAGATGAGAAACAGGTCCTTGGTTTAAAGGTGTTACCTGTTTGAAGCAGCATTTTTGAAAGGGAAGTTTGCAGTCATTTGAAAGAAGAATATTTAAGAGCATTGAAGCAAGCAGCAGACTAGGATTAGATTCACGGGCCCTAAGGAAGAAAATCTGAATTTAGGCTCATACGTTACTTTCACGCTATAATTTTCTACAATTCTACATCTTTAAAAATGAATCAAATTCAATAAATTGGTGCA